CGGGAAACCAGTTCCACCTGCCCACAAACTGCACGGGGCAAGAATCCCTGAGACCTGGGGATTGCCGCAAGGTGAATGCAGCAGAAGTGAAAAGTGCATCTGAATGCAAGGAGCCTTCCTCAAAGACGTCTGGTGAACTTAGGTGACCCCACGTCTCCGGAGTCCACCCAGTGCTCTGGCCTCCAGGCCACCCTGGTTTTCGGGAAACCAGTTCCACCTGCCCACAAACTGCACGGGGCAAGAATCCCTGAGACCTGGGGATTGCCGCAAGGTGAATGCAGCAGAAGTGAAAAGTGCATCTGAATGCAAGGAGCCTTCCTCAAAGACGTCTGGTGAACTTAGGTGACCCCACGTCTCCGGAGTCCACCCAGTGCTCTGGCCTCCAGGCCACCCTGGTTTTTGCATCCTAAGCCCCATCCCAGCCTCTGCCTGGCTGTTTTTGAATGGCCAAATTCTCTTCCAAACATATCAGGTGTCTGTTACTCAGGCTTCTGTTGTGGTTCCTAGGGCTAGCACTGGCCCTTGTACCCCCATCTGTGGTTCTCTTCCCCCCCCCAAGCAGAAAAGAGGGGCTGCCTCCCCACCTGATGCTTTCAGAGGAATGTAGACTGGACATACCCTAAGTCACCAGAGGGATGTAGATTAAGACATACCGACATTGCAAATGAAGTGGGGATTAAATCTCCCACACTTCATTTGATTAAAAATGGTCACCATGTTTTGCCGGGTCAGCAGTTTGTCAGCAAAAAGCGGCTGTCAAGACGGGGATCGGGCGCCAAAGAAAGCCTTTGTTGGCTGATCCCTTACGCCTCGTAATAGGAGGTTTATAGGATCGACCGACAAAGGCTTTCTTTGGCACCCGATCCTCGTCTTGACAGCCACTTTTTGCCGACAAACTGCTGACCCAGCAAAACATTTTTATTCAAATGAAGCACGGGAGATTTAATCCCCGCTTCATTTGCAATGTTGGTACGTCTAATTTACATCCCTCTGGTGCCAGGTCTAGACATACCCATAGTCTCAAACATCCTTCTTGCCTCTGAAATTCCCTAAATGCGCTGGAGCTTCAGGGGAAGCCGACTTAGTCTGTCACAGAAAAAAACAACAAATGGTCTGGGAGCACTTTGTAGATTAACAAAACATGTCGATGGAATCATGAGCTTTCGAGGGCACAGCCCACTTCTCCAGCTGACCGGAGTGATGAGTTTGGGATGTGAAAACTCAAAATGAATGAATAGGGGAAGGGGAGAGGAGGGGTGGGAGACAGAGCATCATTAAGTATCTGGAGAATGGGTACTTAAACCTAAGCAGATAAAAATCAAAGTCAATAGCTAGATTGCTAAAACAGGAAGGGTACCCCTCAGAACTGTTAGCACCTTTAGCGGTTATTATGGGCTGGCTAGGACACTACCTACTTATCACAATTGAGTCCATTAGCACGTGAATTGAATTTGTGGATGAACTGGGATTCTAGTCCTTCCCTGTGAATCTGGCTTGTGGAGCTGGCCTGTGACAAGACAGCCACCTGCAGGTCTGTCAGACTGTGGTTAGACAAGCAGAAATGTTCCCCAACAGGCTTGTGTGTGTTCCCTTTACGTCTAAGGACACTACCTACTTATCACAATTGAGTCCATTAGCACGTGAATTGAATTTGTGGATGAACTGGGATTCTAGTCCTTCCCTGTGAATCTGGCTTGTGGAGCTGGCCTGTGACAAGACAGCCACCTGCAGGTCTGTCAGACTGTGGTTAGACAAGCAGAAATGTTCCCCAACAGGCTTGTGTGTGTTCCCTTTACGTCTATCCGACCAGCCAGTTTGTCCAATATATAGAGCAGTGGGGCACTGCTGGCATTTGATGGCATAGATCGAATTACTGCTTCCAGCTTCCATTAATGATGCTCTGTCTCGCACCCACCTTCCTTTTTTCTCCTTCTCCCCCCTCCCCTTCCCCTCTCCTATTTATTTCGAGAGTTCGCATCCCAAACTCTCACTCCGGTCATCTGGAGAAGTGGGCTGTGCCCACGAAAGCTCACGATCCCATCGACATGTTTTGTTAGTCTATAAAGTGCTACCGTACCTAAACGTGCTGCGTTTCAGTGAGCACCTCTGTGAAAATGCACTGCTGGGGGCGTGCAGTTCTCAACCGCCACCACTAGGGGGCAGCAGCGCCTTTGCCCCCATGCTGTAAATGCAACACTTCCGCCCCCCACCTTGTCACTGCAGGCGTCCCCCTCCCTGAGCAGTTGCGGGGGAGGCAGCAGCTAGATTGGTTTTACCCATTTAAATCTACAGCAATCCCGTACGGCTTGAACCGAAGTGATTATTAAAGACTCTAACACACCTTCCTATTCAATTGGAAATGAATGTGAAAGAAAACTGGATTTAATGTCAATACATTCCATTTAGATTCATATTTGACTTTAAAATCAATCTTATCTGTGTAGCCACGAA